GCGGCTCCGCCAGCGTGTATCCCGGTTATTGCATTAAAAAGAAGCATATGTCCTTCTCCAAGAATCAAACTATCTCTATAAGATTTCACCTAAATCGGTTCAGCGGTAAGAGTAAAGAGGCAACAGACAGACAGACACTTTCACATTTATTAAATAAGTATAGAAGTACTTAATTTTCCACTTTTCATGGTGGTATTTTTCTTCAAATTCCAATGAGACAACCGTAGGTCTTCCCATTCAAATTTAATACTAAACGCGAAGATCCTGTACCTGGTGATATGGTTACACCAAGTGCTCAAAACCCATCATAGCCTTCTTTATTGCCACTCATTGTCGTTTAACATGATAGCCACGACACGAATTTCGATAAATGATTATTTTTCAGAGACCACAACCCGTTTTTTTTTGTCCATTTAGCGTTTTCGGACTTTCAAGGTAACATTATACATTTAAAATATAATATTAGTAAATATAACTTAGGATTAAAACCAGTCCCAAGATCATTTAATGCCTTCCACGCTTTGCATTAAAATAAGCCCCTTTCGTTCGGAAATGCATACTTATTTAAGGTACGCTCAAGGACTATGGCATGCGTAGGCGCAGACGGTCTCGCGTTTACTTGCATATCAGGTATCAGTGTCCATGTCTTTAATACTTTAACCGTAATTACTTTAAATCTACGTATAGAGCGCCTGGTATGTTTACACGATACGTGATGTATGAGACATTTTATTTTTATTTTAAAGAAAATCTCTACTTTTTTTTGAATTCGTACTTTTTCAGCCAGTATTGGCTAATGAATTTCGTTTATGACCTTATTGGATTCTACTTTTTTTCTAGATCATCTTCTATTAAAATTTTCGTCTGTAAACAACAAATAGGCATTAATGAAAAACCAGTGCCTGTTTATTTTTTTAATCAAAACTTTATTAAGTTTTATAAACGAATGATGAGACAAAAACAAAACTAGAAATGAGGAAAAAAATAAGAACCATTTCATTATTTAAATTTAGAACCATTCGTTTGAATTTTAAAATTTAAATTATTTGTGAAAGTTGAATCAAGAATTGAGTCAAACAAACAAAATTCTACTAATTAGTTAGTTTTACAAACTGGCTAAGTTTTGGCAACATTTTTCGTTGATGCTTCGCTCTTGTTGATCGTAGCGTGATTTGATACACTAAAATATATTTTTTAATTCGAACCAGTGCTTTCTGAGATTAATGATTTCAACCAAACAAACAAACTCGCAAAACAAACAGTTTTATACCTAATATTAGTTTAAATGTTTGATGCGACTATGCGTATTGAAATACGTTATGTGGACATAACGCATTTCGATATCATCCAACGAACACACATAGAACTATAGAGTATATACTAAGCCTGCATCGCGCAATGAAAGTTCAAACGGCGAATAAATCAGGATATCGACGAATCCTGCCTTTTTATAAGGATATAAAACCCCGTCCTGAGTATTTCCATACATTTTACAATATATGCTTACAATGTTATTATATTATCTATGTTTTCATCACTATGATCGCACTATTTGTCAGGGATGGGAATCGAACCGCTCGTCCTCAACTCAGCATCAATTATCATTAACCATTAGCCCAAAAACCATTAAGGGTTTCGGTAAACCAACATGTATTATTTGCTAGTATTCAAAACTTCCTTTTTTTGTCGAGAAAATTACAATGTGACTATTATAAATGGGCCTTACCTCGACCATAAGGGATATTAAGATAAAAACATACAGTTAACGAGACACTTAAAATGGCTTTAACTATTTAGATAAAACTATGAAGATTTGACCGCATCGTATCTAAGAATGTTTAGTTTTAAGTACAACAGATTAGAAAATTGAAAAAGTTACAGTAAGGTAGCAAGCACACGGTATAATGTCTCTATTTTTTTTAAACTCTGCTGCAATCGCAGAAAGCCTTAAAAATGGTATATATACATATGTAAATTAAATCGGTAATTATATGGCCATTTGATCCCAAATTAGGCAGAGCCTGAACTATGGTAACCAGACTACTGATCAAAATACTTAAATATTTCTAAATACATACATATATAGATAAATTACATCCAAACACAGAACAAATTATCGTGCTCATTACACAATATTTGTCCTGGGTGGGAATCGACCCCACGACCTCTAAATTATAAGTCAGGGTCACTAACCACTTACCAACAGGCCCGTTCATTCATCCCGTTCATCAATCTTCAAAACGGCTGGACCGATTTTGATAATATTTTACTACCTAGCTATCTATACGAGTATAAGGAGTAACTTAGGCTATTTTTCCTCTCAGAAAAACCCAATAAAATTTTGCCCGGTCCGGGCACCGAACCCAAGGCCTCATTAAGGCAGCACTTTCAAACTGCACGCGAACGAAGTTGCGGGTACCAGCTAGTTATAAAAAAGAAAGCTTAAAAGGATGTTTATTTAATCGTGTGATCACTGGACCTCTTCGTCTAGTGATTACTGCCGTGTGTGAGATGGGTAAAGCGTGAAGTTATTAGTGATCTTAACTGCTGAGACAGAGGTCGTAGGTTCGATACCCACATAGTACAAATAATTATATGATGAGCACGATTATTTGTTCGAAGTACATCGACAAGTTCAACTGATGATAACCATACCTATATATAACAGTATAAGTATGTTTACCAGCAGTCTGGTTACCATAGTAAAGCTCTGCTTAGTTTAAGATCAGACGGCCGTGTAAGATGCGTCAAATTTTTACACTTTTTTAAATAAGATATTAACCCATTTTCGTTACCTACTTTAACTGACATTAAAATGAATAAAACACAGATAATTAAGAAACATAATTAGCTGATGACTAAGTATTTTTTTTAATAATATTAACACACAGGAAACTTCTTTAATCTTATGATAAAATATAAGTTTGTTTAAATGAGAGACTCGCTATCGTGACGGCAATTGCACATAAGTATTATATTATGAATATATATTTATTTTTTATGTATATTTTTATTCACGGTCGCGGTAACTGTTAATTTTAGTTGAGTCACAAGTCGGTTTAATAAGTAACTGAGAATATTATACAACTAGGTTTCTGAAGACTCGTAATTAATTTGAATTATTTTTTTCTTTGGTTTTAAGGTCGATGAGGGGCTCGTTAACACATTTCAAAGTTAAGCAATCATAGCCAAGTCAGTCTTAGGATGGATGATCATTCTTAACACATTAAACAACTTTCACGAGATTCTCGTCATGAGGAACAGCGATATCAACATTGCGCGGCGCTCTAATCGATCTATCACTACAATATCTGGCTTATTGGCAACAATAGTCCTGTCTGTGATAATAGATCGATCCTAATACAACGTGGCCCGACCATTCTCGAGAACTGGGTCGGGACATACCTGTAGTATGGCACCTCTAGATTTCCACCTCACAAATTGGTATTTAAGGGCAAGCTGTTGGTGTACGATCCTGGCTACTTGGTTATGCCTGTGCAAATATTCACCGCTATCGAACAACCAGAAATAATATACCTGATTGATACCCCAGGATGGTGGCATGCCCAATAAATATATCTTAAGTATATATCTTTCAAGATATATTTCCGATAGTTATTCGTCATGATAACTTCGTCCATAATCGCACAAACAAAACCTTCCGTTTCTAAGAAGAGATCACCAAGCCAAGTCGTAGATGCTTTTAAGTCTATATCTGACCTATTTAGGGCCCGATAAAACCGACCATGGAGCTCTTTGCCCTTCCATACTTCCCTGCGATCATTACTACTAAGTACTAAAGTTTTGCGCCAATTCTCTTTAGCCAGAGCGAGCGGAGTGAATCCGGTATCCACTACAACTACATTGCGATGCACTCCCACATCAGTTATTATTTGACGGGCCTATTGGTCTGGTGGTTAGTGACCCTGACTGCTAAGCCGGAGATCGTGGGTTCGATGCCCACCCAGGACAAATATTGTGTGATGAGCACGGTCATTTGTTCTGTGTCTGGGTGTAATTTATCTATAATATGTATGTATTAAAAAAAATATAGGTATGTTTAACAGCAGAGTGGTTACCATAGTACAGGCTCTGCCTAGTTTGGGATCAGACGGCCGTGTATGAGATGTGTGAAAAAAAATATATTATTTTTGTCCGTGCGGTCACGGATTAACAATATGGATTGTCACCACCCCCATTCATCCCGTGGGTGTCGTAAGAGCCAGATGACTAGACTAATGGAGCAAACTACGCAGGACAACAACCGCAACTACAAAGAGCAGGAAAACTTGACCCAAACCCTATACAAACCCGTCTGGCGAGCGTGGTATAGTAGGCCAAAACCTCCTTTGTAAGAAGAGGCCTATGTCCAGCAGTGGACTGTACTGACTGTTCGTCAGCTTCTTTCAAATAGAATAAATTAACCCTGCTTTTACATTTTTTTTCCTCATCAAAATTCATTTTTGCCTTCCTCATTAAATGGGCTATCCAACACTAAAATATTTTTTCAATTTGAACCAGTAGTTCCTGAGATTAGCGCGTGTAACCAAACAAACTTCAGCTTAATAAAATTAGTCTAATTAAACAATCACATGATAAGTTTTAATACAATTAACTGTAAAAAAAGTATTACCGACTTATTTACCGATTATCGTGACGTAGGTATTAATTGTATTCTTCATTACCTAATTTTCACCGTTAGGGGTGGATTTTTTGCCCCATTTTTGATTGGGACAATGGTCAACCGAAAAGTTTATTTTTTAAAGAAAATAAATCCGAACCGGCTCTTGACTGGCTTAGTTCTGAGGTAACAAACATAAAAGATAACCAAAAAATACAACCTGATTTTGAACCTTTTTTTTCTTGAATTCTATTAAAAACAAATTCTAATAAAAAACGGTTATGTAGGTTTTTCTTCCGTGGGAGTCTAGTAATTGGAAATGCAATAGAACATTATGGACTCGGATCCAATTAGATTCTAGTTAGTATAAAATGACGCCATGCATATGAAACGTAAGCCTTGTATCACACAGGTAAATGAACTTTTTTTGTCAAGATACTCAATTGTATATCAAATTAATACACTTCCATAGTTTCTTAGAAATTTCGGCGACTTGAGTACTTAGAAATAACATTTTGTCTATCAATTACCTAACGTAACTGATCTACCAAATATTAAGAACATGATCATTTTTATCCCAAATAATAGTTCATTTCTACCCTCCTTTATAAAAGATCCTAATAACATTAATGACAGAAAAGACCATTGTAGAAATTAAATATTCCAAAACATTTTTATGAAACGATCGATTTCAATGACGACGATCCGTGTTATAATCTAAATGGTGTGCAAAGGAACCTAAACTGATATAACCCGACTGGCTATGCGCTACAAATAAAAGTTTTTAAAACAAAAGCATCCAAGTAAAACCTGTTTGCAAAATCTCACGATTTCGCGCGGATGCGGCCGGTGCGCCGCACATTTTTTTTTCTTTTTTTTACACTTAACACACGAGGAATACACTCACAGGAGAAGAACATTGTTAAAATAATGATTAGTGTATAAACACTCACCTGTTATTAAAACTGCCACGAATTTAACACGTACTTTAATTCAGAATTCTCTTTCGAAATGCAATCACCGGCGCACACTCGTGACTAGCGGACATTAACACCGTCGGTACTGCCAACGTGACAGTAGAAATTCCGTAAAGTTGGTGCTTAATAATACCACTACGTAAAATGGTTATTTCTACTAAGTTTGAAAACAGCCCTACCAATTTCGAGAACAGCGTTGTCAGTGTTTTATTTCTGTCTAAACAAAAATATAATTTTAGTTTTGTGGATTGAACGAATAATTTAATTTAAATAGAAACAATTTTTAGAGACTTAAATTGGAACTGATTACAGTATTCCGATGAAAATATTTTTTAACGAATCTTGCTTATCTATGCTCGCATTCACACTGCAATTTTGACTAGAGCTGCGACTAGTACTCGTTAATTATTTGTATGAGTATTATTATTATCATAAATTATTTTATTCTTTTGATGAAAGATTAACAATTAGAAAACGTTTACCATGCAGAAACTTCTCAGGGAAGTGGCAGGTTGAAAGAATTAAATTAAACACATAACAGGAAACGGAATCATAATACAGCGCCATCTAACGAAGACACACCGAACTACAAAGTAACTACTGAATGAGAATTGCTAATCTTGTATCGCGATATAAAGAATTCTCATAGCATATTATTGTATATATGGTAATATAAATAAACATTTTAGTTTCGTTGCGGAACTGGTGTCCTTCCCCTTCAACACAAAACGAGGATCCTCCAGCCAGGCGAGGTGAAGCCTGACAGGCCGCGGCTCAATGGTTGATTTTGGGGAGTTCTCTTCCTTCTCCTCCTCACAACAAGGGAGGATCCTCCCTTTGTGTTGAAGGCGTATGGTGAAACTAAAATGTTTATTTTCAAATTTAAACAAAAAATGTTTTGGTAGTAATGCGTTGTGTAGTTGTGTTAATATTTTAGATTTTGTTTTATTTTACAAAGCTATATCTAAAATCAATTTAGATGTAAGTTACGTAAATTACAGTTAAGCTTCTGCTATAGGGTCTGCACCTTTTGATGTTAAAGATCTAATGAGGAGCCATCAGACCATCATCAGACCGGCTTTAGGAGTGTAACATGTAATACGGTGTGGTTTTAATTGAATTAGCTATGCTTTTGAAGTAATTACTTGTACAAAATAATTTTGAGGTTACAGATCTGCTATATGATTTTTTTTTATATAAGCTTGCTTTTGTATTCATGTAACAGTTAATATTATTTGAATCTACATAAATTATTCTGTGCAATTAAGAATAAATGGAAGTGAAACGTAACTCGTATGTAGGAGGTAGTAGAATGTTATGCTATGATGCTAGAGAAGTTGTCAAAATAATCTAAAAATTACGGTGTATCATAATATTTGACCTGCATTCGTTACCCTTAAGTTCCAAAAAATTAGAACAACGAAAAATACCTAATCCACAAACCTAATCCATATAAAGCTGAACCTCTCTAGTTGTCTTGTTTGATTTCAAAATTTTCAACCGTTTGTTTTCGTCAGTTGAACAAGCTGAAGATCTCGATTTGAAAGATCGTGTCGTTTTATTTTTGTGTTCTTATTAAACAAGCCAAAAAAAGTCTATTTACGCTATTAAATTTTTAACTAAAGCTTTATTTGGTGTAAGTGGATGTAAAATACGTAATAAAACTAAAAAAGGATACGTCATTCGTATTTTTTCTAGGTAAAAAACTTAAATTCTTATATCAAAGCTGTCTAAACTATCTGAGTAAGCGTTAATAACCACAATAGTTGTGGCAGCAAATAAAATAAATAAGTTATATACAACTATAAACTATGATATTTTTAGAAATGGATCCTATGGCAGAGCGCATTGCAAAATTAAGAGAAGAAAGACGCGAAAGGGAAAAGGCGCGAATTGAGAAGGTAAGCAAAGCAAATAACGTAGCTTATGCACTATTTAGAATAAATATTCATGGTATGTGTATGTTTATGTATCAATACTGTGTATGTATTTTATTTACTTTTGGCTCGGGATGGAATAAAATTACAATCACATATTGTGATAAATCATGTGATTATAAATCATCTATTCGTACTTGTGACTGATTTACAAAACCACTGCGACTTATTATTATTACGCTAGCGCAAGGTCTAAATAAGAAAAAGGTCATAATCTTATGTCCAGCAGTGACTACTAAAGGCTGTTGATGATGATGATGATTTAGAAATATTTAACTATGTTTATCGATAGTCTGGTTACCATAGCACAGGCAGTGCTTAGTTTGGGATCCGATGGCTCTAGTGAGATGTACCACAATATTATTATTATTTCTATATAATGTACATAATTGCTCTTAATATCAACAATTATGGACCCTGTCGGGCACAGCACTATCAGGAGAGACGCGAAACTGCTTAGTTATGCTAGTTTTAAAAGTTTAATCCAAATACAATATTATCTGATTTTGGATTTAGTTGAATTAAATGGGCATTAAATAGAATCGAGATAAATTAATAAAATTAAATTTCATATTTGAATTAAAATTGCATATAAAATTGTATTTATTCTTTGTAAGTCCTGTAATACATAACTTATAAATACCACATCGAAGAAAATGCTTATCCTAATTACCATGAGGTCGTTACTCAAGGTCAACACTGAATTGTAGCATAGGCAATCTTTTCTGGGGGGGGGTCACGTGATTGGCTACTGTGGGACCACCAACAACAAAATATTTTTTAGGGATTTAGCAATTTTATTTTTTTATTTTAATGTTTAATTTCTTATTATTGAAAAATATATTTCAGTTACGAGAGTTAAATCTGAAGAAATACAACCAGGAACCATCTAAAAATACACCTGCAAATGTAAGAAATGTTTCCAAAAATATGGCCAAGAACCATGTTCCTTTAGTCTCTAAAATCAATAATAGTGCACCCCAGAGTAAAACTGAAAGTAAGGAGAATAGAGCTAAAAGTGCTCCTACACACAGAAATAATCCTATCGCAAATAAGAGTGCAAGAAAACCTCTTGCTGTGTCTTCAGATCAAGGCCCTATAAGGGGACCGTCACAATTGTTTAATAATCAAAAGAAAACAACTGACCGGAAAACGTCTTTTATAAATTTTAACAAAACAAACCTACATCCTAAATTTGAAAGAAAATCACTTGCTCCTACCAATATTAAAAGCACAACATTAACTAATAAACAGAAGCCAAAACTGAGTACTGCATCAAATGTGTCCGTGTTTGAACGTCTGTACAAGCCTAAAATGACTCAAAATACAAACACAACTAATGTCAATAGACGTCACACAGTCTTTAACAACAAACCGGAACATAAAGTGCCTGTTCGAAGATCTATTTCAGCGGTTCACCTCAAACGGGTTAACAAGAGTGAACTAGGCAACTGCATTCATAAATGGTCTTCAAGTGTTGATAAGTTGAATATTATTGACATCAAGGAGGTCAATGAAGATGAAACTGTGAACGATGACAAAGTGGTGTCAGCAATCAAAAGTGAACGGAAGAGAGTTACTTTTATGACTCCCTGTACAAACTTTAATACTCCTAGACAGGAGGAATTGCAGGCTAGATTGAAAGCTTGGCTTCACAAACGAGGAAAATCCATGGACTCGTACCATCATCTACAATGTTTTGGTCTTCACCACTTACCATACAGTTTGAAGTTTGATCCTACGTTGTATAAGGATGAAAATAAAGAGAACGTTTTTGAAGAATCTGATTCTGATGATGATTCTTATACTGAGAATATGAATGATGAAATGGAGAATAAGAACAAGTGGAGAAGGGCTAGCATTGCGAGCGATAGTGTTGATTTAAGTGAGTCACAGAATACTACTACTACTAATAGTGATGCTATTATTAATACCGATGAAATTGTTATTGGGGCGTTGAATGACCTCACCGAGTTATTAAAGGAGGTAATTATATGCACATTCTTTTTATTTCTTTTTATTAATTTTAAATTGATAAAAACTATGGGATGCTTTGAGCCTAACTTTCCCTTTACTAACATCTTAGACCCATAAAAGTTACCACAACACTCACTACCACTCTATTACTTTCTTATTTTACTTTAGGCGATAATTCACCGCGAGGTTTTGATTCGCTCGGCAATAAATTACTACCGTATCGCATTTAATTTGCATCAAACCACAGATTTTGTTTTCGCGCGGTTTTTTTTATCGCCAGTGCGGACCAGTCCTATACAGATAAATTTGTCGCCGAATTTTGCCAAAACAAAAAAACGCGCGTTGAAATATCGCTGTGCGGACGAGCCCTTAACGATTAGTTTAATAGACCAAAAATAAGGAAAATGTCATTAGATAGAATAATTTATGCAGAATTATAATGTTGGGTAGTTAAAGTAATATGTGTATAGACCCCAGAGGTTTCGGTTGAGTATATTTTTCTCCGTGTGGTGACGGATTAAGAATACAGAGTGTCACCACCCCTATTTATCCCTTGGGTGTCGTAAGAGGCGACTAAGGGAGCGAAATACGCAGGACACAAGCACTGCAGAGAGAAGGAAAACTTGACACAAACCCTATACCAACCCGTCTGGCCAGTGTGGTATAGTAGGCCAAAACCTCCTTTCTAAGGAGAGGCCTATGTCCAGCAGTGGACTGTTAAAGGCTGTTGATGATGATGATGTATTTTTCTCTCCTGATATAATGTGATGGGAAGTTTATGTTTCTTTCAACAGTCAATTCAAGTTTCAGATATGCGACCGTGTCCCACTCGAACTTCTTCTTACCTCTTTTGTCTTTTCTCATCTAGTTCTCCTTTCAATATATTCTCTTCTAATTTTTTATTATCCCTTAAGTGTTTGACGGTAATATACTTGCTCTCTATTAAGTAACTAAAAGTATAAGTTAGACTAAAATATTAGTAAATTATAGGCGTTTTAATTACCCTGTCTACTCCGTCGTATTTTTTCATTTGCCTAAAGAATATATATATCCTGACGCAAAAAACAGACTCAGAACAGCAATTTGTGGATCACACAAAGTGGTGTCCCACGTGGGGATCGAACGCACAACACTTAGCGCAGTAGGAAGCGGCTCGGCGACCGCTTAAACCACGTGAGTGTATGAAACATGTACAATTTGGTGTGGTGCAGGGCTTCGAGTGGATGCAGTGCGCGCGCTGGCTGCGCGCCGTGCGCGAGCGCTTCCCGTCGGTGCAGCGCCGCGCCGCCTACTGGGAGTGTCGCGCCGCGCTCGAGGAGCGCCGCGGGGACCTGCCCGCCTCGCTCAAGTGCTGGGAGGAAGCCATCGCACAGGGCACCGAGGTGACCGACTCTTTGTAGCCTGACTTGCAGGTATTCGACAAGCGATTGTTATATAATAAATACGAATAAATATGGTTTTTGTTTCCAGCATTCCGTGGCGGAGGCCAATTTGGATCATCTGCTGGACAAGTTTATGCAACTCCAGATTAGCCCCAACGGTGAGAAGAGCCAGAGGGTTGATGCTAAGTACGTAGACGTCAAAAATGTGTTCAAAAGTTCCATTATTAGATTTGCAGTACAGCGGGGAAAATTGTAAGTATTTTTTTAGTTATGTTTAAAACTTTTTCTAATTGGTTGTCGTTATCATCATCAATGCTACACAATAGACAACAATCTATACAAATAAATAAAATTGGAGTTTCTGTTTGTAATTTCAAAAAATAGGTTTTTTCATGCTCACAAGGTTATTTGCACGGTACCTAAGCCTAAAAACCAGATTACCTTTTTTTTGTTTGTCTGTTTGTTCCGTGTGATCTCCTAAACGACTGGACTGATTTTGAATATATTTTAATCATTTTTTTTTATGATATCCAGTGTGTGGAATTTGAAAAGCGCTGCCTTAGCAGGTTCGATTCCGGGGCCAGGCAAAATTTTAAACGGTTTTTCTGAGAGGAAAAATAGCCTAAGTAGAATATTTAATGTAGATCAAAATTGCCTTTTACAGTATAAATAAGTTTTTTTTTTAAGATTCAGTCGTATTTTAACGTACAGTACAAATAATATTACATAGAAGGGTAATGTCATATATATTCCAGCCGCCTGTCGAGCCAGGAGGCGGTCTCGGACGGCGCTCGCTGCAGCCTGACCCCGGTGCGGCGCAGCGCGCGGCTGAGCTCGGCGCGAACGCCGCTGCAGCTGTGCTCCAGCGTGGCGCACGCGCCCAGCCACGCCGTGTTCGTGCCCAACCCGCACCTCTACACCACGCCCTGAGACCGCCACACACATACATCAACTGTTTTTCAAATTAATATATATGGAAAGTTACTATAGATGGCGCTGCTAGCCGTTGGATTGTTTAGTATTTATAAAGAATCGTGAAAATTTTACTTTAGTAGGTAATAATCTTGTGAACGCCTTTGTCGCATATTTGTGGTTTTAAGCGATTTACGTTACGGAAAGGTCACCGGAGGACCGATCACCCCTCTTATAGGAGAAAAACACTGAAAATTAGGCATGGAATAGATTGCTACTCGGAAATAATACTCGATATGTTTCAATGGGTTGTAGTTTTTCAATTGGTTGGTCAAATTGAAATACGCATCACACAGATTTAGGCTTTCATGTTGATATACTTATATAAAATAGTTAAATAGTAACTTTTAATTGTTAATTGTAAAAACGACTTCCTTAAACATGAATAATCAATTAACTTTCATAAACTTAATAATGAAGCAATCTGTTTTAGATAGGCTATAAATGATGGATACAAACACGGATTAAGATCTTTTATTCCCTGGGATATCCCTGGGAAGGGGAAAATTCATATCCGCGGACATATCCGTCACATCACTAGCGCAAATACAATTACTAATACACAGTATAAAATAAAGATGCTTCCCGTTCCTGTAAGCTTAGATCTTTCAAACTACGCAACGGATGTTAATGCGGTTTTATTCAATAGAAAGGAATTATTGAAGAGGAAGATTTATAATGTATAATACATGCATATTGTTGTAAAAAAAACCGAGAATTTTAATGATTTTTAATGTGATGTAAAAAATATGTTTTTGCGCTGGTACATTACAAACGCTGGTTAAACTAACTTTTAAACAATACAGTATCAATCCTTATCCAATTAAATACGTTAGATACGTTGTGCATTTGCCGGTTACGCCAATTCATCAAAATAGTTATTTTATTAGCGAACAGAGATTTAAAATGCGGGGGCAGAGCGACCGTTTGGCTGTACGTGCTGATGGCACGGAGCGTGCCTATAAATATTATAAATAAAGAAATCCTGTAGTATAGTCTAATCATAAAATAATTATTTACTACACACTGCCACCACGTTAATATCTACATTGCACCCGTGTGAAGCTGGACGGGACGACAGTTTGTATAATAAACTTATTTTGTGTCGTAAAAAATATCTATAGAAGAACGTTAATATATTTTTTTTCATTACCTACACAGTATCTTAGACCCTGTATAGGACACAAATAAAATCACATATTATGTGGCAATGGCATTCAAAACATTTAAAATAAATATGGTGTACCAAAGGGACATGACGTGACATTTATCTACAATCAAATTAATGAGTCTTATTGGGGTATTAAGGAAATTTTAAAGTTGATGGCAATAATTTCAATGCAGTCTTCATAAAAAAATTACGAAGACATCGACATGTGTCCAGACATAATAGGCGGGGATATCCCTTTTTAGCTAAATGTAGTTTATCGCCATCTAGCGAACGCCAGTGGAACTTCCGATCTTGTGCCGCTGTGTCGCGCAGTGAATGATCCCGCGTTAAGAATTTGTTTCGTTTCTTTTCCGGAATGAGTGAGGTTACCTGAGGCTACACAAAGGACGAAACGTAACATTTTAATGCATTGAAATATTTAACTGAGTTATAAGACTTGATCACAGAAAATGTAAAGTATGGTTGGAGAATAATAAAAAGCCTACTATGTTTTTTTTCCAATGGCAATAAAATATCCGTAGAAAATTAAATTTTACTGAGTTCATTGACTCGCTCGTGATAAATAATCACAAATTAAATATTTTAAATGTTATTCATATAATGTAATTAAAGATAAAAATATATTTAAAACTCGTTTTTTATTTAATCGACCTTACCACCTTAACCAAATCTAGATACACCAATTAAAAAAGAATGTAACAAAAGATTTGTACAAACGTATAAAGTTATTAACCGATAAACACGTAGAATGTTAACTAAATTTTATATTGTGTCTCAGGAGGAATTGGATTTTGTGGGAGAATACTCCCCCCTGTCCCCACCCCCCCTCCGTTTTGAGCTGTAGCTGTATACTGACTTACTACTTGAAGTACAATCTTTGGGAAGAGCTTACCCTACCTGGGACCTGGGAAAGCGCGTGCGATCATAGTACGGTGCTAGAGTTCTCCGTCAGATGGTAGTTGAGATGCTAAATGACCGGACCGTTGACAATTAGTTACAATATCAAGTCGACAAAATATCGAATCAATGGACTCGACATTTCAGAGGGCCTATATAGTATAAGTTTATTTCAAATGCACTCTATCGTCACGCCAAACGCACGCGTTGATGTGAAATAAATTCACACTGAAGTTAGCATTCGGTTCCTAACGATCGCGACCCGCGAGTGCGACAGGTTCGACAGCGACAGCGACCCACTGCTTTGTATGAATTTATATGGAGTACCGGTTGCTCCAGGGGCAGTGAAGTCGCGCGACGCAGGCGTTGGCACTAAAATCACGGCGTTTCCACCGAACGAAGACTAAATATTGATTGAATTGAAAAGCAACTCTCTTCTTCACTAGCTGTGAATGAGTCAATGTTCATTCTTTTCTGCAGAAGGTATATTCTTCTTCTCCGTCGTCACACTCTTGTCAGAGTGGTCGTGGTCGTCATGACCGGAGCGGTGGCAAGCTTCACAATTTGTCGCCATTCCTCTCGTACCGTTGCTTGCCTCGTGCATTCGTGGAGTGGACCATTTAGAGCGGTTTTGATTTGGTCTGTCCAGCGCATTGGTGCTCTACCGCGCGCCCTCGTGCCCTCTATTTTGCCCTGAACCACGAGTCGCTCCACAGACTTGTCTTCCCGCAGAAGGTATATATAATAACATAATGCCGTAAAGCTTTTTTCCTAGCTACGGCAAATTTTGCGTACATATCGCCCTGTAAAAGGATATAACACGTCGCATCGCTGGCGTCGGAAAGCTATAGGTCGCTAAGAACCAAATTAAATGCTACCTTAAGCCCTCAGTAGGTAGCAAGTAGGTAAATATTGTTTATACCTACTGTCATAGGCCACCATAGACTAGATAGTTACAGGTTTTTACCTCCCGTCATTTATATTATCATTTTTACTTTTTAATATTTAAGCATATTACATAGATAGAGGCCAAAATAGCGGAATTGATAATACAATTAGTTGCAGCCACAATATTACATCCTATAAAATATGCACAAGTGCTGATTCAACTTGGTTACAAGCCCCCACCACCGCAAGAACCTGTCCTAATAAAACACATCGTCTTTGAACACCTCAGCTTGATCAAAACTTCAGATGGATTCCTTGGATGCTACAGAGGTTTATCACCAGCTGTGTTCGGTCTGGTTGCTGCTAATCAACTTCCTGCAAAGATAATTTATGTGGCAGGTTTAGATCTACCCGAAGTCAATATTGTGACGGACGGGGAACCTATAATTGAAAATTATATGAAGCTTTGTCGTCGGGATATGATTGTACATACTCTTTCAGTCTTTGTGTCTTACCCTTTTCATGTTATCTCTATTCGGATGATGGCGTCGTTCATTGGCAAAGAGAATGCTTATTGCTCATTTCCAAGCGCTGTGGCAGCCATATACAGAGATAATGGAATATGTGGCTTTTTTCACGGAATAATGCCAAAATTGCTTGGCGATTTGACTTGTGTAGCTATAACGGGATTGCTAGCATACCATGTGAATAAATATTTCATCAAAACTAAGGATCTCCGATATTATACTGTGCCTGCGCTCACAATCGTGAACAGTCTATTGACTTATCCCATGGTTGTCGTGTCTACTTGCATGGCAGTTGCTGAATCCACTATGAGCGCAGGTAATCCTCCAGCGATGCCAAAGTATCCGTGTTGGCAAGCTTGTTGGATGGACTTGCTGAAAAATAAGCAACTCATGCGAGGTTGCTCGCTTAATTTAAGGTATGCTGGATCAGGTACGGTTTCCTAATATCAGAATATCATCGTGCGATGATCAGGGCAGAATGTAGGTAGGTGAAGATGAGGGATAATTGTCGTTGTTATTTGACTATAAAACGCGTAGATTTTCCTTTACCTACTGAATTAACGGATTTCCGGTTCGGCAATTATTAAAATTTTGTTTTTAATTTATGAATGTGTAGTCTCAATTTGTAAAAATTACTGTGTGTTTATAGTAATAGATGTTATCTTAATGTAAATAGTGTACGATGTGGATATTTTGATAGATTAAGATTTTTGAACCTAATTGAAATCAAATATATACCTACCTACATTATAACTATTTTCTTGTATAATTATTGCTTTTTAATAAAGTCCAAAGTCAAAATATCTCTTTAAAATCATTTGAAATCGTATATTATGTGGACTCAAGTCACAGGTCAACACACAATAGCAACAATCTGTTTTGTCAGATATTTAGCAAAATGAATCCAATTCATTGTATACCAGACTGCTGATCGACAACAGCTCGACCGCCTATTTCAGCAATTTAGCGATCGCTGCCAATATTTTAGTTAAACACAATCGTTTTAAGGGTTTCTTGGTCCTAGCAAGGAACATTTATTGTGTCCCCATGTTCTTACGTCTTTCCGAATTCCTAACTTCTAAGTTAAACCGATGGAGCCAAGTTCCCGAGTTCTCAAGAAATATTATCAACATCTTTAATGTACATATGTTTATGCAAATAAAATATTTTAAACTGGATCTTAGCTATAATCGGATTGCATTCCAGTCAGAACTAAATCTGTAATGTTATTTGGAGAAATACAATCCAATGTCGTGTACTTTACACAAATACCTGTTTATCAATTTTCTTTTACAACTATCAAAAGTTTTTAGCATTTTAAGACCATAAAAATAATATTTACCACGCTTATACCTCCTTGACAGCAAGCAGTCATCAATAAATGAACATGTCTGTTAGTCTGTTACATAATACTAATATTAAAACGTATTAGTATTATGTAATATTAAAAAGAAACTACTATTATATGTTAATATTAAAAAGAAACTATTATATTCAAATTAGGGGACTAAGTATTGGACGTTTTTATTTTATCAGAAGAATAATTTCAATCTAAAAATCTTTCAGAAGTCAACAAATAATAGCAGTTTCAACGAAAAAATGCTTTTATGGTACAATAATATTTTTTTATTGTTGGCAATTCTGGAAAAGTAGAGCCTCTGTCAAGACTGACATTTTTAGAGATGCGAGAACAGAACAATACAATAAAAAGTTATCATCAAGTTAGAATAGTATCGATTAAACGTATTTAGTCACAATTTACTAAAATAATTAGACTTACAACGAATAGTATATTCGGCAGTATACCGAATACCGAATATTCGGCGAGGCGCCTGACCGAATAGCCGAATATTAGGCAAAAGTATTCGGCTGGATTTTAGCGCCAAAAACTTGTACAGACGTGAATTAAATTATGTACCTGTTTTATGTACCAATGACTACTTATTAAATGATTATAAAAGAAATGAGAACCTTACCCTTCTAAATTTTGATTACCACAATAATTCAAATACATAGAATCCTCCATTTTTCCAATTCAGAAGATGATTATGTACCTGTGTTATGCACCAATGACTACTTAAATGATTATAACAGAAATGAAAATATGAATATATACGTAATCAATCGATTTTAATTTTTCATTTTACCAATTATTTCTCAATGACAAAATATATTATTTAAGTATTCGGTATTCGGCCGAATAATATGTAGATATTCGGTATTCGGCCGAATATAATAAAAGCAGCCGAATAGGCCGAATACCGAATAGTAACCGAATATTCGTTCGTTGCAAGTCTAAAAATAATACATTTATTTAACGAATGTAACAAATAAAACTATAAATACTCAAAAACTAGGATGACATCAATGTTTAGGTACTGTGCAGTGTAGCACTTTGAGATAAGGATGCTGCGGTCAACCATTACCTGTCATATATCGTCTTCGTAAAGAGTTTTTAGGAATATTCTCATCTTTCTGAAAAGATTTAAAACGGTTGTAAAGTTTAGTTCTCTCGAAGCAGTGCAGACATTGACTTCCCGTATATGTGATATAGCCACCAAAGTGAGGTTGTTAAGTAACTGCAAAACTCGGAAGAATCATCTGTGTTAATTTAACACCCTATCCATCATAGCGAAACTTACGCATACTATAATGAAGGTCGAACGTGTGCCGTGAAATAAATGTCATCAATCAGCAATAGCTTTTAACGATTAACTGCTGGACATAGCCCTCTATGATGTGTTTGAGTGATTTTAACTAAAGTCTTGTACTACCAGTAACAACACCAGAAACGCATCGATATAAAATCTCAATTTCAATTTCAATTTATTGCATTCCATAATGTACATTCAGGTGGTAGGCTTAAAAGTAGGTAACAATTATGGACCCTGTCGGGCACAGCACTATCAGGAGAGAGGAGGAGCTGCCTAATTAGGCTAGTTTTAAGAGCTTCATTTCAATACCAACATTTTCTGCTTTAAACGAGATAAACTAATTAAACCAAATAGTATATTTAACTTGCATGTTCATAATAGGATGTAGTTGTTGATAATTTAATAAATTTATTAATGAACAATGTCAGTACAAAATTCAAGTGCAATCTAGTGCAAAGTATCAGTATCGAAGTTCTCGATTTAATTTTATTCGATTCCTACACAATCGTTACTTTTCAGTGTCATGTGTCAGTAGTCATTTCTTTATTCATTCAGTGCTCAAGCATCAGCTGAATGTTGATGTGTGACAGCGTGGATGATTTTTCGAATTCGTGCCTTTGTGTAAAATATAGCCGGTGTAAATATAGTGCATAGTTTACATTAATTTTTATTAAATCTAGGTCTAGTTGCTGCGTCTCATATTAGTGCTGTGCCTGTGTTATAGGATACAATCCGTCATCTGATGAAACAGCTGATTTTGTCAGATTCGCAATTTTTTGGTGAGTACCTATGTCATAGAAATATGTTCTAAATGTAAGAATTGTTTTTTTTAAATGCCGCGGCACAGGAAACAGTTTATTTCTGTTTAGAAGTCATAGTTTTAATTGTTTTATCACGTTATGTTACGATGTATTGCCATGTGTTTGTAAAAAACAATTTTAACATTTCTTTGTTGCGTGCATTTGTGTGAATATTGCAAAATATTACTTTACTGTTACTATGTCATATGTTTATGTTCTGCTGTGTAAAATTATTTCATTATAAATACTCCCTAAATTAATTAAATTTAGGGACTATTTATAATGAATAAATTTAATTAATTTTTAAAACAACGTAACTGGTTTTTTTTGACGAAGTAAATAAAAGTACCAGTTTTACAAGATACAAAACGTTTACGAATGCATTGTTACTGAATAAAAGTGCTGATTATTGTTAAATTTTTAATATACTTGAGTATCTAATTTATCAACTGACACAAAATTGATACTAGAACCCAGTTTAAAATACCGTTAAAATGACGTAATATTAAGCGATATAAGACGTGTACAAACGAAAAGCTTTTAATAACAAATGTAGGATATTATAATCATTTAAAGTTAAATCTACATTGTTGGTTTCATAACTATCTGCTTAAACTAGAGGATACTCTGGAACTATAAGTAATATTACATACCTACTGTTTAAAATATTGTAACAAAAATAATATCACAGTAAGAGAAGAAATTTCTGATTTGAAAAGTCACCTAGAACTCTGAAAATAATTGATGAATATGTTAAATCTCTAAGCATATCCTTTATTAGTAGTTTTTTTAAACTTCTAAGAAAGTGAAAAACTTTCAAAACCTTCCCGTTCCCATGACTTTATTCTAAGGAGAGGCCTATGTCTAGCAGTGGACTGTTATAGGCTGTTAATGTGATGATGATATAGCAGTCATTTTGTAACAATTTACATGGGGTTGTATAAAAATTACCACATTTGTTATTGACTTAAACTAAAGAGATGAGTTCTTTAAAAGTTATAGTTTAACTCCCTGGAATTCAATTAATTTATAGTATAGAAATATAGTAATAGAACTGAGAAAATGTTAAAAATATTTAATATAATTCCCGATTGGTCCCATTCAAATTTGAAGAAAAACATCAGCCTAAGGGTCAAATATTAAGTAATGAAGCATACAGAATGAGATGATGATGATGATGTGTGTGTGTGTGTGTGTGTGTGTGTGTGTGTGTGTGTGTGTGTGTGTGTGTGTGTGTGTGTGTGTGTGTGTGTGTGTGTGTGTGTGTGTGTGTGTGTGTGTGTGTGTGTGTGTGTGTGTGTGTGTGTGTGTGTGTGTGTGTGTGTGTGTGTGTGTGTGTGTGTGTGTGTGTGTGTGTGTGTGTGTGTGTGTGTGTGTGTTGTGTGTGTGTGTGTGTGTGTGTGTGTGTGTGTGTGTGTGTGTGTGTGTGTGTGTGTGTGTGTGTGTGTGTGTGTGTGTGTGTGTGTGTGTGTGTGTGTGTGTGTGTGTGTGTGTGTGTGTGTGTGTGTGTGTGTGTGTGTGTGTGTGTGTGTGTGTGTGTGAAGCATACAGTTTAATACAATTCATCTTATGTAACCGCATTGAAGTAATTGTTACTTTTTAAGAGTTAATGATGTTACATCTTCAAACAGTGTTAAAAGCATTGTTTTACTGAATAAAATTTTTGCTAAGAAGTTTAGCAGTAACACATGAATTTAGTAGTACATGCAGATATATTTACTATATATCTTTTTAACATTCAAAGAGTTTCGTCATAATATTTTTATTTTAATTGCCAGTAAAAGAAATTATACATTTTATGCCTAATAATTTTTGGTAGTTTATTTTTGAAGTTCTCCAAAGAGCTTATTGACTCAAATACAGAACATACGGCATAGCATTCAGAGTCCACTGGAAGTCCAGAAACCACTGGTCCAACAGACCTGTAATTGCTTAACGGGTTTCTGTAAAGTCGTGGTCGACTTCAATCGATCGGCCATCATGTGGCGTA